TGTATGCTATACGTAGTTAATGGAAAGAAGTCCGCCTTGGGGCGGCTACGTATCAGGCGACGCAATGAAAGAATCGGGTTAAAGCGTGCGATTTTGGAGAGTAGAGACAAATCGATCGATAGAATAGGATGGAGTAGAAGTGTGAGATGTGAATGCAATAAGTCAAAAGGCCAGAAAGAGTTTCTAGTGAAGGCACTCCAAGAACCAAGTGGAAGCATCCCCGTCGCCAGCATTTGTGACAGATGTCCGGCGGTACTTTGAACGCGTAGCAGCCTTTCGGTTTTTCGAATTTTTTTTATCAAAACGAAAGCAATACTTCAGTTCTTTTCACTCTTATCGTGGATAATGAGTCTCAAGCCAGTGATTTATGGCTGAAATAGAATCATGATTTTTCCGCGAATGATTCCTTTAAGAGTCTCTATACGACCCCTCCTGGACCACAATTGATCACTTATGTGAGACTAGAGCAGTGAGCCATCAATAACCTCGAAGAAATTGCCGAGAGGAAATAAAGCACTGAACCCATTCTGAAATACGCCATGTATGAAGAGTTAGTGACTTAAGGCGAAGCTTACCATGAAAAAGCAGCCCACTGGAAATTAAAGAAGAGGTGGTTAGTGGTACAGAAATGAAGAAAAAACATGAAACGGCCAGAACCCGAGAAATGGGACCCCTTCTTGCCCGTTGATTTCCGCATTGATGCGACTCTCATCGGTGCTGCCCTCTTCAACGCTAACGCTCTCTCTGCTGAACGGCTAGAGTCAGACGGTGGAGGCTAGGCATGTGGCGGAGCGAACTTGGCCCAGTCAGGCCGCTGACGAATCGCTTTGCATTCTCAGAAGGCCTGCCTACCTTTCGACTAGGTGTGTTTTCTCTTCTTCGGCCTTATCGTGAAATGCCTTCGAAATTATCTTTCTTTCCCACCCACATAGAAAATGACTACACATGAGATTTTTAATAATTACAGCTTTTCTTGATTTTGAGTTAATGAATAATTATTAAAACTGGTTTCAAAAATAAACTTGGGAAAAAATAGTTTTAATGGTGTTTGCATTTTAGTATATGAAAGCACGC